AAAAAAAAAAACTGAAAAAGAGACTCAAACAGAAATTCATACACTGGTCTTCATAACATCATAATTCACAATGTCCAAAGCATGGGCACTCAGCTGTCCTTTGACAGATGAGTGAACAAACAAAATGTGGTATATTTATATAATGGGATATTACTTAGCCATAAAACAGGAACAAAATTTTGCTACATGCTACAACATGAATGAATCTCGAAGACATACTAAGTAAAATGGGCCAGACACAATAAGTATCATATCATTCCATTTGTATAAGGTACTTAAAATAGTCACATTCACAGAAAATAGAGTAATAATTACCAAAGGGTGGAGGGAGAAAGGAATGGGGAAGTGTTGTTTATAGGCACCAACTTGAGACAATGGGAAAGTCCTGGAGATTGATAGTGGTAATGGCATACAACAATGTGAAGGCACTTAATGCCACTGAGCTGCACGTCTTAAATCATTAAAATGGCAAATTTTATGTTACACATATTTTATGACAATTTAAAAAAGAATGAATTCATCCCTTCAAGGCTTGAGTTCAAGTGCTGCCCCCACTAAAGCCCTTCCTTCTGCTTTATCCCCGTCGTGACAACCAGACTTGACCTTGTCCTTCATAAGGACATTTTATCCATTTGAACAGCAAAGACATTTCATGTTTTATTTTTTTTTTTCACAGACCTCCCAATCAGGAAAAAAAAATGGACTAGTCATTCATTTATTCATTCAGCAGCGTGACTGAGCATCTACTATGTGCCGGGTATAATAGTGAACAAGACAACAGGGGATCAATGTGGTATAGCACAAAAATGGTAAAGAAGTCTGGTCAAAGAGGCTGCTTCAGTGGGTACTGCCCAGTGAGGGGGAAATAATGCCAGTTGCCCTAACTGCTAGGAAAATTAAACAGGATACAGTTTGTAAAGCAACTGCTTTTTATGGTACCCGCCCCCCTCCAAATTTTCTCAGCTGGAGAAGTCCCTTTTGTGTTTGAAGAAACATCTTCACTGCTGAGAATTGGTTTAGGAATTACAATAGAAACACCTTATCTGCAGATTCACTTTATGAAGTTTCATTTTCCCACAGTTGACCATGGTCTGAAAACAGTATATGGAAAATTTCAGAAATGAACAACTTACAAGTTTTAAATTTCATGCCATTCTGAGTAGAGTGATGAAACCTTGAGCTGTCCTGCTCAGTCTGGCTCCGGCTGTGCTTTATTCCTTTGTCCACTATATCCATGCAGTATATACTACCCACCTGTTATAGTTAGTTAGTCAGTCACTTAACAGTGGGCTTGGTTATCAGATTGAATGTTGTGGGCTTGTAGTGTTTGTATGTGGGGTTTGGTGCTCTCTATGGTTTCAGGCAACTGGTGGACGTACCTCCCACAGTTAAGGAAGGACTACTGTAATAAACCACAAGTTTTTCTGGTGTTGAGTTCTCTTCCCCAGGGACATCTTCAACCAACACACCCAGAGAGCCTGAAGTACTACTACCGCAATTAAGTTTGGTGGAAACACTTATACCCTCACTCAAGGATGAGGTTATACAATTTGCCTTCAGGACTGTCTGCATCAGAATAGCTCATTTTTGATCCTGGAGAACTGGGGTGAGGTGAAATTGTACCACTCAGAGAATTGAACTTGAACTGGAAATCAGATCACCTGATCCTAGAGGGCAGAAATACAATGAATTTGAATTTGAATGTGAGCAACCCCTTTACAGAAGTTGCAAAGCCACTAAAGACAAAGGGACAAACTGCACCCAGGAATGGAGGAAAAGGAAACAGCTCTGTGCTTCCAGAAGCCAATTCCTATTGATGGCTTTTGCTAGTGTTATTTCAGTTCTGTTCTTGAAAAGGGTGGTGACTTCCAATTTTAAATTTACTCTGCATACATTTCTGATGGATTTTTGTTTGTCTAGAGAGGAATTAGGGAAGAAGTTATTAAAGAGGCCGGATCTGGTGGGGGAAAGAGAGAGAAGTCAGGCAAGACAAATGTGGAGATACCCAAGCTTGCAGGGAGGGCTGTTTTCAAGAGGGACTTAAAGAGATGGCTACCAAAGGATTTACTGGGGAACAGCCTGGTCACGTTAGAGTGTGGGAAAGTCTGAACTAAGGAGAGCAATAAAGCACAGGATTTACAATAAGGAAGCTGACATTCTCTTTCTCTCTCTCTCTCTCTCTCTCTCTCTCTCTCTCTCTCTCTCTCTCTCTGTCTTATCTCTGAAAGATGCTTTAACTTTGAGGCTCTGGGCCAGTCCCCTAACTTCTCTTTGTCCTCATTTGTAGACTAGAGATGACAACCCTTGATCTTAAGGACACTAGTCAGTGCCACCCTGCCCTCAATCCCCTGTGGGAGGTCAGCTCAAACATGCCCTGTGGAGTGGGGACCAGACCATGTAACCTTGCCCTGCTGACCCATTGACTGCCAGAGCTGGCATCTGGTCAAGTGACTGGTGACCGGAGACTTGAGGCTTCTTTCCAAATGATGAGCTGCACAATCAGATTCTTCTGGAGAATTTCAAAGGAAACCCAAGATCCACTAGAAGTGTCCAGACACTGTAGAAGAGGGCCTGCGCCATGCTGAGCCATTTGCAAGATGAGGGAAGGGAGGCAGGAAGGAAGAGAGAGGAAAGAACACAAAAGGGCAAGACCACAGTCTGCCCTGTCCGGGTTGCAGGTCCAGCTCACACGCAGGAGCCAGCCAAGCACAGTTTCCTGTCCTCCATTTCCCCGAGCTGTTACCCTTCTCACCACAGCTCCACTCTTATTTCTTAAACCCACATGAGCCAGGCCGACCTGGGAGGTGGCTGGTATATGTGGATGAACCAGGGCTCTAACTCCCCCGTGGTACCTTAGGCCCTCACTAGCACCCTCCTACCCCCGCCAACACCCCAACCGCTGGTGTTTCTCTGACTCAGGGATACTTATCTCTTCATCCATTTTTTGGCCTCGCCCCATCCCCACCAGCAGCCCCATGAGACCAGGACCTTGGGCCTCTTGCTCACGCCCTCTCTGCAGTACCTAATACCTGACATGAAACAGGGTCCCAGATCATATATGAGGACCGGGTGACACTATCCACATAGTCACTCAAGTTATAGCAAATGGCAGGTTCAACTGGGCTTTCCCCCTCCCTCTCTTCCTGTGCTCAGGAACCAACTGCCTGCATGGGCTGTGCTGGCAGACTTCTCCTCCCCAGCAGGTCTTCCACTGCCCCATGGCCTCTTCCTTGGACCTCCTCACTCCATACCCTGCTACGTGGGAGAGATCCCAGGGTACCCACACTCTCCAGTGCCGCTGGGTTTCCTGTGTTCTCAGCTCAGACCTGTTGCCCTCTCTCCAGTCTCACCCCCTTTACTGTAGTTTCTGCCCTTTGGCTTCTGCAACAGAGTCACCTGAGTTTGAGATGGTCCCCCTTCCTGCCTCTGCCCCTGCTGTCCTTCCTACCTGGAAGGTCACCCCCACTCACCTTGTTGTCATCTCACTAACTCTAACTCAGCTCAGTCACCTCTTTCTAGACTTACCAGACATCTTCCAGCTGGCTCAGAACCTCCCTGGGCTTCCACAATCCCTGTACGTCCCTCATATCAGAGGACCTACCTACTTGGCTTTGTTGCCATTGTTCACTTGCTATTTATTATCACAAGATGGTAATAAATAGCCTGGCACTTCCTATAACCACCAAGAAAGTGTATAAGTAAATGCAAACCGCATTGGATAGCATGCTCTGCTCTTTGCTAGCTGTGTGCCCTTCAACAAGTCCTTTGCCTTTTTTAAGCCTCAGTTTCTTCAGCTGTCCTATAGAAATAGTAATACCCACATTACAGGGATATTGAGCAAAGGAAAGGACGTTGCATGTGCAGCCCTTAGCACTGTGGCTGGCTGGTGAGGCGGCTCCATCTGAGTCAGCTGCAATGGTAGCTAAGAAAAGTATTTCTACAGACCCCTGCTGCAGAAGGTTTCCAAACATCAGAGCTAACTCTGCAGTCCTGAAAAGAATTAAGAGCCTTTTAGAAATCAATGAATCTACCTTAAGTGTTCTCCAAGAAAGTTGAGAACTTTGTTAAGAAACCAGACACCCAGCACAAACCATGTTTTCAAAAGTGAAACCCCCAAAGTTTAAAGGAAAACATGGATCTCTTTGTGGGGGATAGGAATGTTAAAGGGCAGGACACAAGAATGGCAAAAGGGAAAGGAGGAGGCGTGTTGCTTGGTGGAGGAGGTGCAGGTGGAAAGTCAGAGCCATCACGGACAGGTGCTTCAGGACAGGTGCTGGGCTGCCTTGGCGGAAAACGGGTTCTCCCGGACTTGTTGAAGTGGCCCTAAACATTCTAGCCCTTCTCAGGAGAACCTGGGGCACAGACGCCCTAAGGAACTCTGGAATAAGTAGGAGGCAGCAAGTAAATGTTTTCAGGCACCCTATGTGTGCCATGAGAGATGGCTGCCCAGAGAGGTTGCAGGAGGGTGGAGAAGCCCCCCAAATAACCCCGATCAGGCGTTGACTGGGGGCCCCTAGAGTCAAGGAGCCCCCAAGTAAGGTCTGAGTGGCCTCCACCTCGACCCCCACCTCTCCCCTCGAGGTAGGCCAAGGGCAAAAGCGCCCTGCCTCGAGGGTCAAGCAGGAGGCGCTCTAGGCACGTCTCCATCTCCAGGCTAGGACCTCAGTCTCCTCCTCCTGGCATTGGGTTTGCAGGCCCCGCAGTTGAGAAAACAGATCTTGGAGACCTACTGGAGCTTGCTCCTCCTGCAACCTCCCCCTGGGTGTGGGAACGTCTCAGCCCCGTTCCTCCCGCCGCCTCCCGATCCGGACTTGAAGGAAGTACTAGGCGGCCAGGGCAGGGAGCCGAGGCCGGGTGCGCACTGACTTGAGCGCTGACTGTCCGCGCGGACGGGCTGCGGAGTTCCCCAGCGGGGGCGGCGGCACCGTCGCGCCCGGGTGGAGACCCGGTCCAAGGGCCCGGGGCGCGGCGGCAGCTCCAGGAGGTCCGGCCGTGAGCGTGACCTCACTGGGAGGGGCCAGCGCGGCGGCCTGGGCGCCGAGCCGAGCGCAGAGAGCGCAGCGCCGGAGCGGAGCTGGGACAGCGCAAGCCGTGGACCCGATGGAGCGGTACAAAGGTGAGGCGCGGGGTCCCGCGCAGAGCGCACCCACTCCCTTCCGCCTAGTCCTGTGCGGGGAAGAAGGGCTAGGGCTTATCCCGCCGGGATCCAGGTGAGCAAAGTCGACTGCCCCCGCCCAGGCGACCTGAGCCGAAGAGGGGGCGACAGAGGTGGGCTCCTGTGGCGGCCTCCGCTTGAGCCCTTTGACCGTCGTGGGAGCCGAAGGCGGCAGTCGGCTTTGGGGTGGTGGCTACGCTTCGCTTCCCACCTGTAGAAGGAGAGGGTGCGCCTCGCGTCCCCCTCTCCACCCATAGTTGGCCCGGGGGGGGGGGAGATGCCTAGAGTCGAGGGGCCCCAAGTAAGGTCGCAATCGTGCCGCGGGGCCGGGGCAAAGGGGTGAGTCGTTTGTTGGGTTTTCTCGCACGGGCGCCGGATGGGGGGTTTCCTGCAGATCCTGGGAAAGAGCCAACTCGGGAAGAGGGTGCGGGAAGCGCCTGGGGTAGTGGGGTGGGCACGCTGTTAAGTCCTGGCTGGATCGGGCCTCTCCTTTCGTCTCGCAACTTGGGTAATGGTTTCTCTCTGAGCCCTTCTCAGATCCCACCACCCTAAGCTGAGTGGGGTGTGGAGGTTGGGGGCCGGAAAGCGGTGCCCAGCAGGTGGAGCGCCTGGAGGTTTCCCGGCCCAGGGGCTTCGCGGAGTTGCACAGCTGAGCGAGCTTTGGGTTTGGCCCAGGCCGGGAGGATCTTGGCCAAATCCTGTTGGGCAGGCCGCCCCCGTTGTGCCAGGTGCCCAGCTAGCTCACGTTTTCAGGCCTGGGGGCTTGGACTCCAGAAGCCTTGGTTTGCGGGGTTTTTGAAAAAGGAGCTCTAAGAGCTGCCCCTTAAGCAGAACGCTGGCCCCGCCGCCCCCTCCCTTTGGAAAAGCCTTTTGCTCTCGTGCTGGGTTGGTCTTGGCCAAACCTGCCAGAGGAAATACTGCTTCTATATTTGTTTTCTCCTGGGATTGAGGAATAAAGGAGAATGCTGGCTTCCCAAGGAATCTCACCCTCGATGGTTTCTTGTTTCTGAAACTGTCATAAAGGGACGTTTGGGAGGGGCTTTAGTTCCCTAAACCAGTATTGTCTTTTGACTTTCTTTTGCCTTTTCTCATCTGGGTCATTTGGTTACTGGTGAAGGCAAAAGAACCAAATCCTAGACAGGGCTTCACCTGAACCAGTAGGGTCTTTGGCAGACGGAAGCTAGTGGGGGAAAGGGGTAACTGGGTTAAATTTGTTGACAATGAATTTTTCTGTGACCGCCTCCCTGATGCCTCTCTCCTGTTTCTAATCGGGGAGGGAGGGCATTAATCTCAAATTCTGCTGGGATCATGATCTGTTTGGTTGTGGAATACATCTTTATGCAGTCTCAAACACTGGAGGAGGTCACAGCCCCTCTCTGTGTATTCCTTCCACCCTTTGGGGGAATTCAGGATTTGGGTCACCTCCTGAACTTGAAGGTGGCTCTAGAGTCCTTTCAGTTTTCTGAATTGTGAAGCCGAGAGGGTATCTGCCCCAAGATCTAGGGTCTGTGTTCTGAGCTACTTTCTCAAGTCAACAGATTAATCCAAGGACCAAGGTAACAGGTGCATTCTTGCCAAGTGCCCAACTTCTCACCACTCATCGTCAGCAGGGTTCCGTGTTAATAGTTTCTGACTTGGCTCTTGACCTGATAAAGTCCTCTTAGTTTATCTTTCTCTGGAGGGAGCTGAAAATCCTCCCACCCTAGAAGAGGATCAGTTGGGGGCTTCTTGCCAACTAAAGAAGTGTAGTTTCTAGTTCAGAGTGTTTGTTTTCTGGTAACACATGTTATCTGCCTTACCGTTCTGCAGTAAATCAGACACAGTGATGAATGGACAATCTTGAGAATTCTCAAGATTGCAGAGGGTAATCTAACTCATCAGTTAAGCTCATCTTCCAATGTTGGACTCATGAGAAAAAAAATCTTTCAGTTCTCAGTGTCATCATGCTATTAATATTTTTGTTTTACCTTTCACCAAGGAATTTTGTTCCCCCTCTCCCCCAGTAGAATTCTTGTTCTCTTGAGAAGCAGACGCTTTGAACACTCATTGGATGGAAACATTGGTCTATGCAAAATGAATAATGCTGGGCTCCAGATCTGATTGGCAAGTGCCCCTTTAATAGAATCAATATTCTCTTGCTGGTCAGAGATTGAGGGCTTTAAAAAAATGTCAAATTGAACATTTGTGGAGTAATTATAGCGGCTTAAACAAAAATGGAAAAACAAGGTTTGTTTGGATTCTCAGAACCTATGTAAAAATTATAAAGAAAAATTCTTAAGTGTAATGCTACTAAATGTTTTCTTAATTGTTAATTTTTTTCCCCTTAAATACCTCCTGTCTTTCTACATTCTCAGGGTTGAGCTCTCCCTCTCCCACATAGGTAGACTATCTCATCACTGTCTTCACATTCTCAAAATACTTTCTCTAATTTGTAAATCTCCTATAGCTACTGTTTATAGGAGAAATTGCTTTTCCACGTTCCCCAGCCTGCATGTTACTCATTACACACACCCCCCAAATAGCCTATCATTTTTAGGCTCTGGGCTGATTTTCCATTGTCATGTAGGACATAAAGAGAGGTCCAGAACTAAAGGATGGTGGAACCACTCTATGCCTAAGACAAAAACAAACAAACAAAACAAAACAAAACAAAACCAACAACAAACAAACAAAAAACTTTCCAGACTTCTCTTCTAGTCTTTTCCAAACCCATCTGCTAGATAGCTATGACTTTAAGCAAAAATGAGTCCCACATGAATCTGTATAAGCAGTAAGACCCACATAAGTGTCCAGCCTGTGGTGCCAAGTCCTACAGTGTTCCTTGAAAAGGTGCCCATCTATGGGTGTTTCCATATTTATGAGTCCCCTAAGAGCATCCTGTATCACTGTGCATGAGCCCATTGGTTGAACTCACCCCATGTAGTCAAGGATTCTGGTTCCTATTTCTCTCCCAGCTGGTGAGCGGATCCAGGGCCAAATGCGACTGACCTACTATCTGTGGATTGCACTTGGAACATCATGCTGAAGCTTCCTAAAATTGCATCATATTTGGATCCAAAGGGGCCTGGTTGAGATTTTCAGACTCTGGATCAGAGAAATTGGTTGAAATTGAAATCCTTTTCCTGTGTTCTTTGGTTTCTGGATCTAATCCCCTGCTTCCCCACTTAGCTCTAGGGCACTGGACATGGAAAGGAATGGCAAAGAGTCAAGCCAGGCAAATACTTGAAAACTTGTCTAGGAATTCTGAGATCTGTGATCAGAGAAGGTTGAAAAGGAAAAATGGATGAAGAGCGATGAGCAGATTGATAACATTTAATTCGCCATTCGGAATTATTTTCCACACTTAGGAGCTCTAGTTTTTTCCTATTGATATTCCACCTATGACAGTGGAATAATGTAGGGGCTTTAAAAATTATAAATGTGGGGGAGCAATATGAAAGTGCAGGCTCAGCAGGGCATAGTGGCACACTCCTGTAATCCCAGCAGCTGGGGAAGCTGAGATAGGAGGATCGCAAGTTCAAAGCCAGCGTTAGCAAAAGAGAGGCACTAAGCAACTCAGCGAGGCCCTGTCTCTTAAAAAAAGAACAAACAAACAAACAAACAAAAAAAGAACAGGCTCCACCTGACATTCTGGTTTAGTTGTCCAGGACGGTGACTTGGGCATTGTAGTTTTAAAAGGTCTTCAGATGATTCTAATATGCAGTCAAAATTGAGAGTCATGCTTCCTTTTAAAAAGTGAAATGTCAAAATAGAAAAAAGTGCCATGGTCCTTTGGAATCAGGCAATGATTCCAGGGACCCCCCCCCTCCCAACCAGGGATATCAAAATCCAAGGATGACTGAGTCCCTTACATGAAATGGTCTAAGTTGCAGATAACCTGTACGTGTTGTCTCATATACTTTAAAGCATCTGTGGATTGTTTATCATATTAGATACAATATAAATAGTTATTATACTGTATTGTTTAGGAAATAAGGACAAGAAAAAAGTCTGGATATGTTTAATAGAGATGCAACCCTGGTGTACCTAACTACATAAGCTACACAGTACATGTTAGCAACAACATACCTTTTTTTTCTCAAAAATTTTTGATCTGTGGTTGGTTGAATCTGAGGATGCAGCACCCTGGACTATGAGGGTTGACTGTAATTATATAAACACCTCCCTCACCTAAAAGAAAGAAAAGCAGGTGCGGAGTGAAGGGGATATCTTCTCCCAATCACAGGTTCCTTGACTGAATCTTGTGACACCTACAGAAATCTAGTGTAAGGCACCTTCAGCTATCCTAGGCTTGAAGACGCTGTGAAAATGCCGTTGAAAACAGTCTCCAGTGTGGAATCCTAAGCTCACAGTTTGCTCATGGTACTTGACCCTGAACTCTCCTGACTTTGAAGCTCTTTGTGTGGGAGCCCTTGATGCTGTGGCACTGAAATGGTCCGAGACAGAAAGACGGAGAGGTCACAGTGGGTGCTGAAAGGCCCCTGCCGTGGGGGAATTCTGCTTTGGGCCCTTCCCCTCTCCTGAAAGGGTGGGAGCTCTGGGAACTGGGCTGGATCCAGCACAATGAAAGGGCCAGGAGGGGCCACGGCTCTTCAAAGCTGAGGGAGCGGTGCCAGTTCTCTTCCAAATCCTTTTAATGACAGGAAATGTTTCTCTCAAGACTTCTGTCTTTCAGGGGAGGAGGACTTCCCCAAGTCTAGGGGGAGGATGATGGCATGTTCTAACCAGACCTTTAGCAGAGAGAGGAGGGAGCACAGTCACCGACCAGGGGGATGGGCAGCAGCTCAGGAACCCCAAGACCCGTGTGCTCCTAGGATGAGACACTGAGCTCTCCAGGCCTCGGTTTCTCCATCCTGAAAACAGCCCCCAGTGTCCCCCCATGTGACTTTGCCACCACTCTTCCATGCTAGTTGCTCTGTGGTCACGAAGGAATCTTTGGAGGGAGGACATGTCTTGGGGAG